TTAAGTCATTACAAAATCATTATTGAGTTATTATTGAATTGTTTTAAGGCAATTTCTGCAGCTTTTGTAGTGACGTTGTGGTAGCATTGTAGCATATGTAGTGACTTTGTAGTGACCATGTGGCAAAAGCGGCTGTAGTGGCATTATTTGCGGTTTTGGAAAGGGTTACCATAAGTGGCCCCTTAACTATATATTTAAGAGGAGCGCACTCCGGTCAGTACGGCGCGTCGAGCCAGCTAACAGCACTTTCAACGCGTGACGACACTTTGAGCAGATGATAGGTGGCACAAAAAGCGTTTTTTTGAGGGCGAGTAAGAGATTTTGGAAGGGTTTTTCGGTCTGGAAATTGAGCCCGTCAAATCGGCCAAAACCTCAACGAACGTTCTGGGTGCAAGCTTGGAGCTTCCCGCTGTACGAGTGTTCCAAAACTGTCTTTGACAACCGCTGTCCTGTGTTCGCCATCCGTTCCGAAAGGATGTTTAGTTACGATACAATCGCTCCAATGTTTGATTTTCTTACTTGGAGTATCAACTGTATGTGTTCGACCCTATGTACAGGTTACAAGTCTAGACTTGTGGACTGCGTGGCGATTGGAAGCATCATGCACGTGCTTCGAAACTGGTAAGTCACTGGTCGTGCAACGACTTATGTTACTATTGCGCAATTTCCTGCACGGACTTTGCAGAGGAGGCGTGATGGGCGACAACGATAAGAACCCATGCTCAGTTTTTATAAAAGCAGCTGAATGAACCCATCAACTCCTTGTTGTACACAGCAAAGTTCCACTGTAGCTTTATCCGGTTTTGTTCCGTCCACACCGTTCAGCTCGGTATCGCTCAATTTTGTCACGGTGGCGTTCTTTGGGAGCTCTTCAAACTTGAGTGGTTTGGTGGGAACGACAAGGCGTCTATGTTGAGAAATGCATTTATAAGCTTCAAAGAGTTTACCAGGAAACACATTAAAAGCTACATGTACGTTACTTCCGGAGAACATTGTTACTTGGGCACGAAAGCATCTTACAGCAGGAGCGAATCGGCTTCTTGACCACACGAGGAGATACCAAACAGCCGGAAAGCTTCCAATCTTGAATCTTCCAATTGGAAGCCAGCAATCTTAAATATGTATGTGTCTGGCTGCGGATGACGTCTGGAAGATACCTGACACAATTGGACTCTTTGCAGAAATCAGTGCGATCATTCTGTTTCGTGGCAAGATGTAGCAGTGTAGGTGACAGGTCCGCCAAAACAGTTCACAAGCTTAAACATCGCAAACAGCGAAAGCTCGCTTCCGTGGTTTTGGAGTTTCCAAGCTTTAAGAAATCCTTCCAACTCTGCCAAACTGCACAAATTTATTTGCTCGTTTCTTCCATTCACTTTCTGCAGTTCCATGCGTCAGACAAAAACAAAGCACGCGACAAATCCCTTTGATGGGCTTGAAGGTGATCAAAGCTGTGTTGCTGCATGTTGGTGTGGTTGCTTGCACACGCAACATTTTTTTTCGAATGAGCAAACAAAACCACTGAGTTCGAATCGGAAGTGAAGAGCACGGATGCTGCCTCTTGTGTTTCTTCACTTAGACGGCATTCTATGCTCTGCTTTTCAGCTGCAAACTGGCTGGACGCCAAAGTTACCAATCGGATGCGATGAGAAGTTGCTCATCAAGACGACGCGCTCTAGAGTTACTAAGCAAGAATGCAAGCTGGTTTGATAAGTCTGCCAGGGTTCGGCAGCAAATCTTTCAAGAGTTTGCGGTCTGCCAGCTACCACCTCCTCAACATGTTATTTTGAGGTGTTGGGTTCTTCGACATTTCCGTTTGGGGCTGGAGGCTATTGTTGGGATGGATGTGTAGAAGGTCGTTCTAGGGTTTGCGGTGGTAGGCACGCTCAGCAACATCTTTTTTGTGCGGTTTGTTTGCCAACATTTCGGTTTGGGTTTGGTTCTTTTTTTGAAAGTTGGAGTTTCTCTGAACATATTTGACTGTGTGGAGGTTGCTGACCAACATTCCTTTCTCAGTTCTGGGATTTGCTTGTCGGCATGTCCATCAGGGTTTGAGGTTTGTCAAGCAAGATCTGTTAATCTATTAAACCTGTCATTTGGGTTCGGGCGGCAAATGTTTTGGAGTTTGCGGTTTGCCAACCACCATCTCCTCAACATGTCTTGGGGTATTAAGCGGATTACTCACAAGCATTTTTTTCGGGGCTTGGTTTGCAAAGAAAGATCTATATGTTAGGGTTTGGGGGGTGGCAGCAGGTCGTTTTACGGTTTGCGGTGCGCCAGCCACTGTCCCTTTTCATGGTTTTGGTGTTGCTCTTCAACATGTCAATTTCGGCTGTTAGGCGCTTCAACATATCCGTTTAGGGATCGTGCTGGCTGTTGAACATCTCCTTTCAAATGTTGGTGAGCAGCCCAAATCCTTTGAAGGTTTCGAGCTGCTCACCAACATTAAGGTTTGAGGCTCGCTCAGCAACATCTCTTTTGTGCGGTTTGGGGTTTGCCAACATTTCGGTTTAGGGTTTGGGCTTTGTTCAAGGGTTTCTCCGAACATATTTCACTGTACGGAGGTTGCTCACCAACATTCCTTTCTCAGGTCTTGGGTTTGCTCGCCAGCATGCCCTTCAGGGTTTGAGGTTTGTCAAGCAAGATGTTTTAATCTATTAAACCCATTATTAGGGCTTGGGTTCGGCTGCAATTTGGGGTTGGCGGTTTGCCAACCACCATTTCCTCAAAATGTCATTTTGGGGAGTTAGGCTCTTTGACATATCCGTTTAGGGCTGGGGGGTGGCTCGTGAACGTCTCCTTTGAGAGTTTTGGGTTGGTCACCAACTTTTTTTGGGCTTGGGGGGTTTCTCGGCAACCTTGGAGTGGGGGAACTGGAGGTTTGCAGCAATTTTTGCGGTGCTAACTGTTTGGTTTTAAACGGTTTGGGGGTTGCCCAGCATTTCGTTGGGGTGTAAGATTTGCAACGTCTCCCTTTGAGGTTTGGGGGTTGCTCACAAGCACTTTCCTTGTGCGGATTGGGTTTTGCAAAGCAAGATCTGTTGTAAAGGTTTGAATTTGCCAGCAAATCTTACCAGGGCCTGCAGTTTGCCAACCGTCTTGCTTTTCAGATGTCTTAGGCTCCTTTAACATGTTCGTTTGGGGCTTGGGGCCTTGAGCGTATCCTTTTACGGTTTGGGGTTGGCTCACCAACATCTCAGTTTAGGGTTTGGGGTTTGCTCAGCAACATCTCTTTTTGGGGTTTGGGGGTTGCCAACATCTCTTTTTAGGGCAATTTCAGGGTTCGGGCTTCTGGAAGCTTTGGAGTTTTCCGAACATATTCCACAGTATGAGAGTTGATCACCAACATTCTTTTCTCAGGTCTGCGGTCTGCTCACCAGCATGTCCTTCAGAGTTTGAAGTCTGCCAGGAAAGATCTCTTGTTAGCGTTTGGGTTCGGCAGCAAATCTTTTAAGGGTTTGCGGTCTGCCAGCCACCACGGTGTTGGGTTCTTCGACATATCCGTTTAGGGCTGGGGGCTGGCCCTTGAACGTGTCCTTTGAGAGTATTGGGTTGGTCACCAACATTTTTTGGGTTGGGGTTTTTTTCTCAGCAAGGATTGCAACGTGTCTTTTTGAGGTATGAGGTTGAGAATAATCTCTTTCGGTGTTTGGGTCTTGCAAAGCAAGATCTATTGTTAGGGTGTTGGATGTGGCAGCAGGTCGTTTTAGGGTTTGCGGTGGTGCCAGCCACCGTCTCCTTTCATGTCTTCAACGTGTCAATTTCGGCGGTTAGGCGCTTCAACATATCCGTTTAGGGGTCGGGGCGGCTGTTGAACATCTCCTTTGAAGGTTTCGGGCTGCTCACCAACATTAGGGTCATTAGGGCTTGAGGCTCGCTCAGCAACATCTCTTTTGTGCGGTTTGGGGTTTGCCAACATTTCGGTTTAGGGTTTGGGCTTTGTTCAAGGGTTTCTCCGAACATATTTCACTGTATGGAGGTTGCTCACCAACATTCCTTTCGACATGTTGGTGAGCAAACCGCAGACCTGAGAAAATAATGTTGGTGATCAACTCTCATACTGTGGAATATGTTCGGAAAACTCCAAAGCTTCCAGAAGCCCAAACCCTGAAATTGCCCTAAAGAGAGATGTTGGCAACCCCCAAACCCCAAAAGGAGATGTTGCTGAGCAAACCCCAAACCCTAAACTGAGATGTTGGTGAGCCAACCCCAAACCGTACAAGGGTTCGCTCTAGGCCCCAAGCCCTAAACGAATATGTCAAAGAAGCCTAAGACATGCTGAAGAGCAAAACCAAGCCCATGAAAAAGAGATGGCGGTTGGCAACCGCAGGCCCTGGTAAGATATCAATAGATCTTGCTTTGCAAAACCCAATCCCAAACCGCCAACCCCAAATTGCTGCCGAACCCAAGCCCTAATAATGGGTTTAATAGATTAAAACATCTTGCTTGACAAACCTCAAACCCTGAAGGACATGCTTGGGTTCGGCAGCAAATCTTGCCATCCACCGTCTCCTTTCATGGATTTAGACACGTCAATTTCGGCTATTAGGCGCTTTTACATATCCGTTTAGGGGTTGGGGCTGGGCTGTTGAACATCTCCTTTGAAGGTTTCGGGCTGCTCACCAACATTAGGGCTTGAGGCTTGCTCGACAACGTCATTTTTGTGATATGTATTATCTTTGCGTACACTGCGTACAGTGTTGTTAAGCTGAACAGAATCCTTCGTAATTTCCTGATTTTGCATTCGTCGCATCTGCTATTGGATCATCAGAGCCTTCTTGGATCAGACGTTGATTAATCTTGGCATTTGCTAACCCACAATCTGGCGTTCCGACAGGAAATCACGGAGTAGAGAAGCAGGAGGCGGTGCAACTGTAGGAGTCAACAACAGTTAGTCGGATCAGGTTCCATTAGCAGTCTCAATTCACCACCCGTGCCGCCCACGATCATCAACAGTAGGTCGCGTACATAGGCCAGTGGGAGCAAGCATGCTCTTGTGAGCGATGGACCCCACTCCCCTCGTGGTGATGTCTGTTGACCACAGCTCGGATGTGAGTCCGGGCTTTGACTTTCTGTGTCTGTGTGAGTTCTAAGGCCGGTCCTGTACCTCCTGATGCATTGACCGCCGGCCCGGTCCTGTGCCGGGACCGGCGCACGGCTTTTGGGGGGCCCAAACAGCTACGACCCGTAAACAAATATCCGCGAGGAGTGGCTCTTGAATGACCAGTCGACGTTGCTTCGAACCTCCTCGCAGGTGCAGCTTCGGAGGTTCGGTGCAGCGATGCTATTTCATTGTTCGTGACAGGCGAGTTTAGATCCCGGGGATGTCGTGCAGCTTTCGAGCAGCACACTTGCTAGTTTGATGTGCCACACCATCCATTCGAATGTGAATGCCGGTGGGCTGAAGGCCTGTCCGCAGTGCGACGATGGCCCTTATCTACACTGCATAACCTCCATCTGAACCAAGAGGTGTGCAAGTCGGTTGTACATGGCCATTGTATCATGCTGCGGCCTGCGGAGGATGCGCTCCAGGCTGCAAGCACCTTCGTGCGTACCGAAGCTAATTCAGGGGGTTCCTTGTTATGAATATAGCATAATATTCCCCAAACCTTGTTCTAATTATTAAGGCTCGCATGGTGCTGGCTTGATCTTGGTGTGGCTCGGCGAGCAGCTCTTTGGACCATGCACGTTTTGCACCTCGCCTTCTCAGGACGACGCCCTTGCAGTTTTCCTTGCAACCCCGCACCCTCTTGGACATCACTCGGGAGACCGGCTTGCGCATTGCCGCGGGCACGGCGCCACCGCAGGATTTGTCTGAGGGATGGTCTGACGGGAGGCTTGTGCCGTGTTCTTGTCGCTAAGCTTTGCATAGCAGGACTTGGCAGACTTCGAAGCCAGTGTATCCGCGGCATCCGGGCTGAAGCCTGGTGGGCTTTGCTGACACTGGGGTCCCAAGTCCCCAAGCTCAGGTAGTCTCAAACCTGGCTTGTGGCTTCAGCGGCTCGGCCAGCACAGAGCCGTTGAGGCAAGACCTAGGATGCATAGAGGGAATGGGCGCACAGCCAGCTTGGAGCCAAAGTGAAAGGCCGGGCTTCATCGGTGAGGTCCCCGCAAAGAACCTGGACATGCTGGCAATTTGCGTCGAGGCTCCGACGGCTCCGACAAAACAGGGAGGGATCACCTCCCTGTAGCGTGTCTGCATCGCAGGCGCAGCTGCGATCAAAAGCGCCGCTCATGGTGGTTGGATCTGTTCCACGAGAAGCCCTTACACACCTAGATCGTGCTGACTGGAGGAACCGCAGGGTGCCACTCCTGCTTTTGGGCATCGCAAGATCCGACAGGAAGTGCGCCTTCTTCGACGTTCCCCATGACAGCCCGGTTTCAACACAGGAATTGCAGGTGCAGGATGGCCAAGGTTGAGAGAGCTGCCGTCTTTTCGCTGAAAACGAGGACCGTGGTGCCTATGTCGGCTTCTGCGCGCCACCCCAAGCAGCTGATGTGGCCTGGGAGGACGGCTGAGGCTCGTGGCTTCGAAGTCTGTGGGTTTCCTGCGAGGACTATCCCGACCGGCGTCCCGTGCGGAGACTGGGCAGGGCTGTGGGCGCTGGTCACGTGTGGTTTTTGCCCATGTGACGGCTATCGGGTCTTTTTCGGCCAAGGACCGAGGCTTCCTTTCTGGAGGCCATCGGCCGCGTTTTGCCCTCACGGCTGCTGCTGGCCACCGGACTGCGCTTCCGCTGTGACCTTCAGGCGCTCCTCGAGTCCCCCTTTGCGCGCTGCGAGAGTTTGCGAGACTCTGCGAGACTGTGCGAGAGGGGAGAGGCGTAGCAGACGACGAGGCCTTCGGGGGCTTGGGCTTGGGCTACGCCGTCGAGCTCCTGCGGCGAGGCCACGAATAGAATAACATGTGATCACTTGTGTTGACCTGAGTAGGTCCGTCGCCTTCTGATATGATAAACAGAGCAGGGGTCCGAAGCACTTCTAGATCCCGATGGCAGTGTCGCAGAGGCTCAGTGGACGAGCTCCAATGCCGGACGAATGCTGCTGAATTCCTGAGCTATCCGTGGCAAGCACCCAAAGCGCCGGAGAAGGCCTGAATTCATCGCATCGATGTGTGGGTAGCACTTTCTCGGAGTCTTGGTTTTTGGGTTGCTTAGCTCTTTGCAGGTGGCTTGAGGTGTTGAATCCGAGATCAAGCAAAAGGCCATTCACTCTCTGAGCCTTTGCGTGGTGGGAGCCCCTGAGGTCCTACATGAAATCGAGTGTCACTGGTGCGGCAAAATGTGGCCCGGCGGCATAAGTGTTATTCTTCCTTGCAGTTGTCTGTGCCACGAGGAAACCCGACGGAGAGCACTTCAGCAAGATGGGTCTGCACTCAGATTTGCGTCCTCCTTGCACAGAGACTTCCGTCACGACAGGCTTTGACTACTGCTCTCCCGGTTGCATCGCCAAACATCGACGCGTCGACTTCGAGCCCAGCACCTGTGGTATGGAAAAGTCTCTCATTCTGGCACGGGGTGTTGTTGTCCCTTCATTTGGAAGTGCTGCGATGCAAGTTAAAACCCTGTCTGCCGGTTGTGCAGCCGTGGCCACCCTCACAGTCCGTTTGACTGTTGAGAGTGGTAGCTTGATGTAGTTTGGTGACTTAATGACTCCTTGATGCTGTTCAGACACGACTACTACACGACTACTGTAGCTGCCATTGAGACCTGCGAAAGTAGACTTACAAGCTGTCTCCACAGCTCCTCGTGGTCCAATGTCCAGCCCTACCGCGCCTGGAGTGCGGTGCCCTGGCAAAAGCTCGGAGGTCCGGCCGGCTTTTCTCTCCGAGATCTGAGCCGTGCCGATGCCAAAGCAAGCCGTGCAGGCCGAAACGGCCCTCGCAGCGCAGCTCCGCCTCCCAGCTAGGCGACCGCTGCAGCAAAGAGCCGAAATGCTAAAGAGGGAGAGGGACATGCTGAAAGCGGTGCGAAAGCGGTGCCTCAAAGCCGCGAGGCCCATCGACGCCCGCTGCCCAGTGCAAGACGAGTCAATGTTGCACCCGGTGCAGCTTGGCTTGTGCGTTGCAGGACTGGCCCGAGGATCACTGCGTCCTTCCGGGATGCAGGCACAAAAATACCAGAGATCGCAATCAGAGATGCTCCGTCAGTATAGCCACGATCCAGATCATGTTGATGGGCGATGGACATCGAGGGCACCTGAGCCCTGAGCTGTGAAGGTTCTCTTTCCTGCCCGCGAAGTATCGGGCTCCCGTCGCGTCTGACCGACACACTTACTCTGAGCTGTGGGACACACCGTCCGCGCAAGCCATTCGCCGCCAGGCTCCCACCGATGAAAGTCGTCAAGGCTATCAGTGAGCCCAAGCTGGGGTCATGACCTCATTCACTCTGTAAGTCATTTGCATGTTCTGCATCTTGATCGGTTGGAGGCTTGGGCGTCGGAAGCGGAAGAGTGCTAAGCGCCAGCAGCATGCTCGGGCCGTGCACGAGTGACGCAGACACCTCCAGCACCGGCTACTGGTAGTGTGCTCGCATTCGCTGATAGCACGGCAGGGAGCTGCCTGTGCCAGAGGGTGTCCCGGGGTCTGTGGCTTAAATTTGATGCTTGCGCTCTTCCGACACTGGTACAACAAGAGCAAGAAAGTGAAGGTGCTATGGCGACTTCTGCCGAGCGGAATTCCGCTTCCCGAACAGCTTGAAGGACATGGGCCGGCCGCATGTGGCCGGGTCTCACTGTGTGTTAGAGACCCGAGGACATCCAGCTACTCGACGACGCCTGGACAAGGCTGTGCCGACCAAGAGCAGCAGACGGCTTTGTACGGCGAACAACCGATAGCACTTGCAGAGCTTTGGCCCTGACAGGCAAGGAAGAGAGCTCTGCAGCAAGAAGGTACTCGTATTCGAAAAAACCAGATGAACAGGTTGTACAGTTGCAAAGCAATCCATGCGAGGTATCCCTCTTCTCGGATGTGACCTTGGGCCCTGTACTCGAGCCCGAGGCTGTTGCATGAAGTGCAAACATTGCCGCATATTGCCGCTTTAGCGGAGGAGCTGGTGGCTTGTTTGGAGCACGAGCGGGAGCCGGGGGAGAGACAGCCGAAAGGCCAAGAGCCAGTGCCAAAGGCGGGGCCGGAAAGCGCGCGCGGCGCGCGCGCGCGCGCGCGCCTGCAGTTGTCCTTTTTCGGAGACGCCTTGCAGGCCCGCCGGCCGGTGGCAGATCCGCTTCCCGGCCGTGCCGCGGGCCGAGAGGCTGAGAGAGGCCGAGAGGTTCTGAAGGCCATGGCGGCCTTGATCTCTGAGGTCTGCTTCTCTGTGATCATGGAAGCTCGCAGTCATCCCACCCTTTGCGGCCCGAACCCGACCTGCAGACCACTGCCGGGCATAAGTCGGTGAGCTCTAGGATGGCTGGAAGCCCTCAGCTGGCGACTGGACCCCAAAGACGCCGTGACTGTGACCAATGCAGCGGCCAAGCTGCAGACGGTGCTTTACTCAGCTTCTCAGTTCTCCTCACAAGGACTGGGAATATCGAATATCCCTCCATGAGGATGAGCAACAAGGGGGTGGATACGTCTCCAAGCGCATGGCTGGTGCCTCTGAGAAGATTCGCCAGCGCAACCGTGGGTTTTCTCGGCCTTTTCTGCACCTGTAAGCAGAGCTGAGGACTGCTCTTTGGCGGGTTTCAGGCGCACAGCGGCGCACAGCTGGAGCTTTCAGGGTGGGGCATCTGACTGTGACCGTTCTCGTAGGTACAGGCTCAAAGAGGTGCCAGTGTGCCGAACATGCGCGTCAGTTTACAGAATCGTCCATGACGCACTAGCCTCGGAGCTCGACACGTTGACAAGCCGGTCCAAGCATCTTCACGTGCAATGCGCCCGGAAGGTCATCAGCATGATCCGAGTGCAAAGGAAGGCCCGGCCCGCGGGTAGCCGAGAGCCTTCTGCTTGCCTTCGGTGTTATGCTAGGACCTTTGGGCAGCGCGGGAGCTGCGGCGGAAACGCCAGGAGGAGGAGGAAGAGAGGCATGGATGGCATTCGCCGCAAGGATCCTTGCCCTTCCACAGCTGTCTCAGGGAGCGTATCAAGCAGGCAGAGATCGAACGCATGCTGGCCTATCAGAGGCAGAGGCGCTTTTTTTTGGAGCCGAGTTCCGCGGCGTGTGAACACGGCTGGACCATCCTTTCAGGGCCTCACGGTCGAGCCCCCGCCCGAAGGCAGCGCATGATTGGTGGGACCATACGGCAACAGCGAAAAGTCGGAACCCTGAAAGCATTCAGGCTGCGTCCGTTATGCTGAGACAGAGCCCGCATCTCAGCCACTTCGGTGTCTGAAGCATTCTTCGGCCTGGAGTTGAAGGCCTCTTTCTGGAACCAGACGTGCAGGCTCACGGTTTCCTTCCAAAGAGCGGGGCCCGGAAGTGCTTTCTGTGCCTTATGTCGCCAGGAGTTCCTCCGACTGATTCCCGACGATCCCAGTGCTGGGACGCCGCTCGGATGCAACAAGAACCTCGCCCCGTCGCCGCCGTCGTCGTCGAAATGGCAATCATAGTAGGAGCAGCGCAGCAGCAGCTTTGCACAGTTCGCTCGCGGCCTTTAGACCATGTGAGGGATATGAACCTGGTGGGTTTGTTGTTGGAAGTTGATGAAATACAGTTCCTCCACGTGCCAGCATCACACGATTCGTCTGCATCCTGGCGGGGAAGATGTTCCACTGCAAGCCAGGCCAACCCAGTACGCTCATTTCGTCATGCTATACTGTTACAATGGTTGCAAGTAAATACATGCACAATATTAGTATTAGGCAGATATAGATATATAAGATATATGGTATACCTATATACCTAGATATCTCTATATAGATATACATAGTCGGTATATAGAAACATCTATATCTATATCTATGTCTTTATTTATATCTATTTCTATATCTGTATCTCTCTCTATACATACACAATGATATGTATGCATACGCATATGTGTATGCAGAGGTATACGTGTATGTAGATGCACATGTACATGTACATGGATATGCATCTGTGTATGTATATGTATATGTTTGTGTATGTGTAGATGAATATTATATACATATGCATACATACCTTGATTGCCTCATATTAATGGAGCCGCACTAAATTTCTATCTGATACTTGGGCCACAGACCTGCTCTCGGCCAGCGACCGCATTGGCTTTGCCAGAGGCCTCCGGCCTTCCGGCCAGTGGCAGAGCCTCTAGGCATCGTGCTGATCGCTAGGGTCTGTGAGGCTTCAAGATTGGGTTTATGTTTCAGGGACGGTCGCCCGAGTTTTGAAGGCTCTTTGTTGTTCGAAGCGTGTGGAATCTCCCTGCCGGGCTTCGACATGGCAAGGGGGAACCGGTCATCGCCCACCTGTGCGAGCAGGTGTAGAGCTGGAGACGGAGACACAACAACTCCGCCGGTCCATCAGGCGCCGGGAACAAGAGGGAAGCAGAGGCCTCAATCCGTCTTTGTTCGAATCATCGGCTCTTTCTGCAGCCGTCTCTAAGATACTGCGAGAAGAAGCAGTCAAAAGCCTGCCATGCAGGCGATATCAGACCCAGCCATACCCACTTAGCACAGCACCTTCCCGCTCCAAGCTGCGAGCCTGCGAGCATGAAGCAGCTGCGACAGCACTAGGCCAGGCCCTCTGCCGACGTAAGCGCCGTCTCCGAAGCGGCTTTCAAGCGCAGGCAATGACAGATGGCTTTTTGCCACCGACGAAGCCTGCGCCGGGTGCAGCACCAAGCCGTGGGAGTTGGGGAGTGGAGCGCATTTTTTTCCTTCTTCTACCCGTAGGCTTGGAAGAGTGGAGACAGCGGCTCGAGGCTCTTGGCTCTCGGTGACGCTTCGCTTCGGAGCGTTTTTTTACCAAGAGGCAGCCTTTCGACGCTCGGCCACTGCACCAGCGTTGGCTTCGCTGGTCCCGGAGTCGACGAGGTCAGAAGAGCACCGGGGGAGGTTTCAGAGTTTCAGAGTATTCCAGTTCACACACGCATGCCTGTGACATTCTGTGACTTTGCGGAGGGCCTCAGAGTGTTCGGGGCAAGATGGCCCTGATGGGGCTTCGAGCGCCTGCGACCAGCTCGACGAGAGCCCGGACTTTGCCGAGGCAGAAAGATCAGCATCTGTTGCGAGTTGGCCGAGCTTTTTGTGTGCTGTGAGGGGCTGCCAGTCCCGGACACGCAGTGGGAGGAGGTGGGGATGCCAAGCCCAGCGGCTTTCAATTTCGCCTCTGTCTGCAGAAGACAGGATTTTCGTGCGGAGTTGTACCGCCTCGACTTGGAACGTCTGGAGAGCGAGCAGCGCCTCCAGGCCTGGAGGGGTTTGTCTTTTGAGGCTTTTTGGGGATTCGCCCTTGGCTTCAGGCTCAGCAGCTGGAAGAGTTGGAGAGGCGAGGCTTCCGATCACGAGGACTGCTCGGGATGCGGACGCGACCAGGCTACCGGCCCTTCAAGGCGGCGTCAGTCCAGAGCTTCAGCTCTGCAGCCTGCTGAGGGGCAGGGGCTTTGCAGCAGGACCGAACAAGGTCCGTGGACGTCTGTGGTTCTGTCCTGAGGCCGCGAGTCTGTGTTGGCTTTGAGGTCGGACGCCCGGAGACTGTGGAAGCAAAGGGATGAGAAGCGGCACCAGCTGCGGTTGCATAGAGAGGCAAGCTCACCAAGAGCTTCGTTCGGAACTTGCTGCCGTCAAAGGCTCAGGTGATCAGTGCAAAGGTTGCCTTTGCGGAATAGCAGCCCTAGAGCAAGGTCGTGCGAGCGTTGCCGGCATCGCAGCAGGCTGCACGAATCCCGAACATGAAGCTGTGGACTTGTTCTGCGAGGGTCCTTCTCAGATTCCCGGTTTTGTGCAGGATGCGACAACAGGCTGCCAGCTGCTGTGACTCGCGACATGTTATAGCATGCTCCTCATTAGACACAGTGGCGGGCTGCTTCTTTGCGTTGTACAAAGATCGGGTTGGTGGCATCTAAGCCATGAAATCCACAGCAACAAGTCTTTCACATTGTATGGGATTGTACGGCTCAGGTTCAGTGGCTGGGCCGTTTCTAGGAAACCCGAAGGCTCGGATCCTAGACTCAGTGAAATCTTGGAAGAATTGAAAGTCTTTTGATACTTGGCCACTCTGGTGCCGAGCAGAGTCCGGAGGACTGATTGCGCAGGCGCTTCGAGTCTTAGGCAGATGTTAGGATCGCTTCCACTCTTGTCTGGCGCGCGCCTAAAGGAAGGAAGCGCTGTTTCACCTGGCAGCACAGGTGGCCAGGGTTTCCGAGAAAAGAGTTGGTGCTCTGCGCTGCCCAGTTTCGCAACATCGTCTTCGTTCCTCGTGACCAGTCTCTGCCCTGTGGAGGCAGCGGCGGAAAGCTTTGTTCGAGAGCCTTGGGGGTCTCGAGGAGAAGGATGCATGACGCTCTTGATTCTCGATCGATGCTGGTTCGTAGGTTGTTAATGCCTGCGTCGCTCAATCATCCGTGTTGTCGAAACGAGGGCCTTCAGTTTACAGGCAAGTCGACCCTGCATGTAAACAAAGGATTGTCGAAACGGCCACGTCGACAACACAGGTGGTTGTAGCAGCCACCTTGCATGATAGTTTGTAAGGCTTACACAGGCCTGAGGTCATGTCACTTTGGCACATCTAATTTCTGGTGTGCCGGTGTAGCTGGCCCAGTGCTTGCATAAAAGGCGCAGGACGATGCAATGCCAGATCAACTTCTCATGCTTCCTTAAGGAGTTGCGTCCAGCTTTGGTGAGGGGCGTCAACACTTATGGAAAGCACAAATATTCACGAGCATTGAGTTGGGCCTGCCCATGCCATGACAACTTGTAAATATGCGGATGGATCAAGGCTTGAGTGCTCCAACGGCAAGCTTGACAGCATTTGGAAGATTCATGGGGCTTATGGGGAAGTTCAGTAATTTTGCAGGTTGGGTGAAGGTCCATGATGATTTGAGTGTGTTATTCCTGTGGTTCAGTTGATGCTTTGACAATGTCATGGCAGCTGGGGCATGTCGTGAGCACGTTTGGGATGATGCGTGGCATGACGCTCCGTACCGAGCAGAGGACTCATCGTGAGCGTAGAGTCAGGACTCATGGGACAGGGCTGTCCACCCGGCAGGACGAAGAGGTGAAGGACGAAGAGGTGCAGGAGACTGCGTCGACGAGTGCAGACCAAATTCCAGATCTCGAAAGCTGCGAACAATGGGATGAAGGTTTGGAACCAAAATGCGAACTGGACCCTTATTTGGCCGACCGTGCCGGCACGAATACCAAGGATGAAGAAAGCGAGCCTTCAACAGCTGGCCTGACGCTTCTCACGGGCGAGCTCCTCTCCTTCCTAGATGGCGCAAGCAAGAACAGTGGCTCGAGCTTCGTCAAGCGGATGCAGGTCGAAGCTGATGCGGCAGTTCTGTCGGCTTCGAGACGGCTTTGGCAGCTCGGGGCCCTGGAACCGGGAGAGCTCTACGGCCAAGTGCAGCTCACGGGCTTAGGAACCTGGATGGCCACTGCGAGGGCGCGTTTACCGCCGTCGGAGCTTCCGTCGCTGTCGCCGGCTGTGTTAAGGGCCCTTTTCTTCGGCTCAGCCTGGAAATGCCTCGTGCCCGTCGCTGCTGCGATCGTCTTGCTGCAGCCGCTGCCTGGCGGACTGACGCCAAACAAGGATTTGAGAAAGCTTTGGCAAAAGGTTCGGAAGAGACCCCCTTCCGGATCACAGACGTGCTGGTCGGGGCACTTTGTCATGGTGGCTGCTTACTTGAAGTGGAAGGAGTGGAAGGCCCAGGACAAGGAGAGACATCGTAAAGGTGATGTCGTCTGGGAGGCGCTGGATGCCAGAGTCATGGCAATGTGCCGGTATGCCAACAATGCTTTAGGGTATTGTGGCGATGATGTAGCTGCGGTTCTGGATGGAGAGGAAAATATGCCACAAGCTACACCAGCAAGAAGAGCATGGACTGTGCAAGCCATGCTGTAGCTCGGCTAGCAGTCACCGGCAGGTTCAGGTCTAGGTATCGCAGGGTTGTAGTTCTCAGAACGCACGGTCTTGTACTTTGTCCAGGGGCTCCTAATTTTTGATTATTGGGGGGTCGGACAAATAAAGTACCCTTTGTCTCCATGGTAGCTAAATTCTGAAACCTGGCACACTGGCTGTCTCGCAGTTCGCGTGCTGAGTTTCGGTCGCCTCAGGGGTGGTGGCGATGGCGATGGCGGCAGGCGGGAGCGCGTTCTGGCCGCTCTCTGCGCTGCTCTGGTCCCCCGCCCCGGCGATGGTTTTTTTCTGCGTGGCGAGGCCATCGACGGCTTCGAAGTAGAGGCGCTTGCAACAACCTATTCGTAGGTTGCAGCCAGGACTGTAGTCAAATGGTCCGTGAACTTTAAGCCCTGAGTGCTGGGTGAGGTGGAGTCAACCGTCAGCAGTGCTCATGCCTGCATTTTCGGGGCAAGCGCACCGCAGAGGGTTTCAGATAAGGAGGTGGAGTTTGGAGGCGCCCAGTGCCAGCTGAAGCCTGGTCTGGAGGAGTCTTTTGAGGAGGTTCACAAGATTCGTTCTCAGCTTTCTTTCCAGACAGAGGCGTTGCTGCACAGCCTTGGCGACCAGGACATGCACGGAACGCCAAATCCCGACTTTGGTTTTTCCGACGATCTGATATCTACCACTCTTGGGTTCCTGGCCTCACCGCGAGGGGATTTTCTTGACCGCCCAGAGCAGTCTGCAGTTATGTCGGAGGGTGCTGCCGAGGAAGTTGGACTTGGCGTTCTGACGCTTCTGGGCCGAGCAGAGGCCGGGAGCCTATGTGGCCAGGACCAACCCGTGCCAAAGCGCCGCGGCTACAAGGACGCCTTGAGTGGAAGGATGGTGCCCGCCAAGCTGTGGCAGGCAAGCGGTGCAAGCAGCGGGGACGTCAAGGAAGAGCATCCGGAAGCGAAGGAGAGACCGGAGAGGCTTGCGAAGGCGAAGGAGAGACCGGAGGTGAGCGAGGAGGGGGAGGGGCGTGAGGAGCGCTGTCTGGAGGACTGGGCGACGAGTCTGGTGCAAACCGCCCTCCTCGCAACGCTGAAGCGCCGGGCCGCTGCTGCGGAGCGCTTCGACGTGGCGGCGAAGCTGAAGCAGCGGGAGCTCGGTGCCGAAGCCGCGGCGGCCGCCGGCCGCACCCGGGCCCTCAGGCCGTGGCACGGCCATGGAAATTTGTGGTCTTTCTCGTGTCATACGAACATATACGAACCGTCGAGGCTGCTGAGTGCGCCTAAGATGGCCTCTGTGGAGCAGCTCAACGAGAGAAAGCGGAAAGCCGTGGAGGTGGAGGACTATGAGCCGCTTGGCTCCAGGGGCTCTGAGCCGTTTGTCTGTGACCTCCATCGCCGGACTTTGAAGGCTTGCTGGGTCTCTCAAGCGTGAGGTCCTGACTTTAGCACCTTGGCTTCGGAAAGAGTTTGTTGGCTCAAGAGACCATGCCGGCTGCAGCTCAGCCTGAGCCATGTTTGTGGACTGAGGAGGCTGAGATCCAAGCGATGGCGCAAGACACAGTGCCTCAGAGAGATGATTGGCCAGAGCTCGTCCGAGAAGCTGTGGGCGATAGTCTGGTGGTAGCACCTTCAGGTCCAGATGCAAGCCCGGGTGCGAGAACAGGCCGTGCGTTTGGTTGCCGCGATGCTTGGCTGCAAAGGCTCCCATGGCAGAAGCTGTGAGACGAGCAGGTGATCTGCAATGTGGTATTCTCTGTGATAATTTGAGCAGTCTGGATTTGAGGCCAAAGCTTCGAAGGAGACTTCTGAAGGCGGCAGGTGCCGATGCGCTGAGAGCTGGTGATGGGTCCGAGAGTGACCTTTGGATCGAGGTGGAACGACACCTTGAGCAAAACGCTTCTGTGACACTTGTGCTGCCTAGCACTTTCAGGAGATGCTGCTTCCGATGCAGGCTTAAGCTGCAGGGCTACAGGGAAGGCAAGGATACACAGCCTGCGCAAAGAGGGGGTGAGATAATCTATGACTCTAGAGAAGTCCTCAGGTCGAGACTTTGGATTGGGGGTGTGGCAGGGTGCTTGAAGATTCAGTGGCTACTATTCCTTTATTTATAAGGAAAGTCTTGCTAGAGTCTAAAGCCGGTGCCATGGTGCTGCGTCCAAGACACCGCGATGTGGGCCAAGAGTTTCCTGCCAGGCAAAGCAATGGTCTTGTAGCGAAGCACTACGTCAATACGTAAAGTCAACAAAGCACCGAAGGGAGGGCCATGTCCGTAAGTGCCCAGCGTAGAGCGGCACCCTGATAGCTGCACACAGGGGCAGCTGCAGACGCAGTCGCACTGTTTACCTCTGCAGGGCCTTTATCCGTTTCTTCGATTAGCCGACTGGTCAGAAGTGCCGTGGCGGCAGCGGAACGAGCAGATCAGCACGGTGCGCTTCTGTCTAGTCAGACTCTATAGTACTCTCGTCTTGCTCTGAGGGCCGACGAGAAGCGAGCCAAAGGCGGACTCGAAAGATGAGGCGCCTTGGCGGCAAAGGGACTGTGAGTCGGTCGCCACAGTCTTCTGGTCGCGACTGTACCAGGTTCCGAGCACGGATCCAGAGCGATCCGAGGGACCTTCCGAGGGGCTGCAGAGCTCGTCACCGCTACAAAGGCTCACTTGGAGGGACATGTCGCCGAGTTCTCTGGAGTGGAGTCGCAAGACTTGAGGCATGCTGACGATCTACCTGCACCGATCCTGCCTGAAGCTGAAGCGCCCGTTTTCCAGGACTTTCGGGATCACGGCCAGGGCGGGTGCTACCACAACCTTTTCACGTTCCCAGGACCTTGTCTCTTCGCGAGTCCGAGGGCGACCGCCCCCGGCTTGCCCCCGTGGCCCGGCATCATCCGCAGGTGGAGAGTTCGGGGGGCTTGAGAGCAGCTGCTCAGGAGCCTTCAAGATGATTACGTTCCGGAAGCCGTGCGCCTGCCTGCTACTTATGTGAGCGTCGGCATGGGCTTGACGATGCTTCACGGAGTCAAGGTGAGGCCTGCGATCCAAAGGAGCTGGTCGAGAGGCTCACGGAGCATGAGCTTCTGCCGGAAGCTTTCGGTTTTTTTTTGGCTTTCTGCGAAAAGGCCGGAAGCTTGTGGTTTGTTTTTGGCTTTGAGCGAAAGGCGAAGTCCCCTGCTGGACCTCACCGGCGACGCCCTTCCCAGCTTTGGCAGGCTGCATGCATCTGCACGCGAACGCAGATGCGACGAGGCCCCGAGGCCCAGGGTTTTTGCCCCCCGGCCCTCTGAGAGGTCCTCCTCGTCACCGCAGCTCGGGGCCAGAGCTTCGAGCCGCACCCGGTCGCTTTCTCCAGGGCCCGGAAAGGCCCCGCCTCTTCGCTCTGCGCCGGCCGCAGCCTCGGACCGATCCTCTTTAAGTGATTTGGACCCTTTCGCGATGCGAAAATGGGGCTATGGAGGTTTATTGCGACTGGAGTTCGCTCTACGTTCTTCATGGCCAACCAGGCATTCTACAAGCGCAGGCCCCCATGGTGAGCACCAAATCTACCGGCATGTCAGCATGTTGTACACCCTCAGGCTTTGCGCCGGCTGCGAGATCATCAGGAGGCTGGGAGACGGAGACACCTTTTCTGCCCAGTGTGTTGCCCTTGGTGTTGGTGTCTCTAGGACACTCTGCTCCAATACGGCGCGTCGCGTTCACCCACCGTTTGGGAATCGCCATCCTCACGGAGCGCTGGCAAGAGTTGCGCTTACCAGGCGACGCGACTTGCCCGCCAGGAAAGTTTTGGGACTCCAGGGCACCAGGGATCACCAGGGCGTATCTGAGCCGACTCAGGAAGGAGCTTCAACGTCCGATCCCCACACCGCGGACTCCTCGTGCGAAGTCGGCATCCTTGCGGCGGCAGCAAAGCGCTCCAAGCATCCGGCGCGACTGTCACAGAGCATCACAGAGCCCCTCATCGCCCCCTCGTCCCCGTGATGTTCTGCTCGCGTTCTGCTCGCGTTCTGCAGGCAGTCGGCGCAGCGGAGCGAGCGGAGCGAGGGAGCAGCTGCCCGGAGCACCCGGAAGGATTGGAGAAGGGCAGAGCAGAGCGGAGCATAGCGGAGCATAGCGGAGCATCCGAGCGTGGCGCCCTTGCTCGGACTCAGGAGCCTCGTAGTTGCTCTGCTCGCCGGCGCTGCGAGGGTCCGGCAGAGGAGCCTGTGTTGGAGGAGGCGCGTCAGGTGGGCTTCCCGGCTTCCCCATGTGCACAGCGCCAGCTGGGAAGGAGAAGCGAGATGCAACAAAGCTTCCACTGACTTTCGAGACCATGTTCGGTGCAACAGGCAGCGGCCTGTGTCTCCAGAGAGGGGCAGATTAGCGCTCACGTTACAGGCTTCCTTTTTCAAAAGCCCTGCTTCAGGTGACGAAGTCTCACTGGAGAGTCTTGGCTGGAAAGATTTGGCAGCGGTGGTTGCGCCTCGTCATGACACTGAACCATGAAGGAACCGGGAGGACGTTGAAGCCATCCTCAGGGACTTGCACTCGGTGGCACATCCTCTTTGTGAGCACTTTCGCATCAGGCGATCTTTGTGCGACGTGTGGTTGAATGGTTGATGTCGGGCTGCGCATGCGTGTTGCAGGTATGACTTCTTGCTGGAGACCCTTGGCACCAGATAGTTACCGATGTGGGAGATTGCATGTGGAAGCTGCTTGGGGCATTTGAGGGCAGTTCGACCACCGAGGCAGCACTGCCAGGAGCGAAAGGCAGGGGTGGCGCGCAGGACGCCCAAGTGGATGGGCGGTGAGGAGCGTTGCATGGCCGCACTTAACACGCCCAGCCACATGGGATCTCATGGGTTGACGCTTCCGGCGTGCATCGTTGACCGAGGCTACCTCACGACTGTTCGTTTGCGGGTGCGCAGGCACCCTGCCAAGGGTGATCCGCAAAAGGCACCCGAGGGCAGCATATGTTCGTGGCTCATGCATTTCGTCGTATGTTCTTGCAGGACTTCATTGGACGAGGTGCCCAGATGCTTGGTTAGCACTTAGAAATGTCATGAGCTCAAGCTCACTATGCTCATGGTTTCTTGAAGGATTGCAGTCCTTCTCCACGAGCTTGCGCATCTGCGGCACATGAACCATGGAGCCCACCTCAGGAGCAACAGCTCAGCTTCTTGCGTGCAGAGCGCTTGAGATCCAAGGTGAGGAGTTCATGTTCTTCCTCAAGGAGCAGCGCCCTCGCAGCGAAGACATGTCATGTAAACCGAGCATTGAGTCTGGAGGACATCTTCACAGAAGCCGCGCGGCGGAAGTTGCTAGATCCGACAATTTCGAACGAAGCTTGTCTTTGAAAGGGCGTGATAGTCTGGCCGGTGCAATCCTGGATTTGGTTCCGTTATCTTCCGTTCAGGAGTTGCCATCCTGCCGTGCTTGGGAGAACCTGATCTATCAGACAGGCAAGCCTCATAAGCACTTTTCGGGAGGCTTCTGGCCGTCCTTGTGCAGGTGGGGATGTTGCAGACGAGGAGTTGATGCGGCTTTTCGACCCCAGCGGAGATCCCACCAGCTGCGCCACGCCAAGGACGGTCTTCAGACTTCAGAGCTGACACTGCAATCACTTGGCGTGAGAGTTTGCAGGAACGGCCCTCGTGACCTTGCTCCTGAGATCGCGGCGATTCAGACATCTGCCAGCCAGCCAAGCTTGGGCGGCTTGGGGCACAGAGGAGCTGAAGGGGCCAAAGAGGTCCGGTTGGATGCGCCAGAGACGCACAACGTCCCCGATTCGGCTGTTCCGCATCCGGATGACCAGCAGGAGAGCCCGCAAGCACCAGGTCCTTCGAGTCCAGAGGAGCAGGGGAACGGCGGAGCCGCTGCTCCGCCGAAGAGGGAGGAAAAGGCGCCGAAAGCGCTCAACGCGCCCCCTGACCGGTCCCGAAAGCTGAAAGAGAAGAAGACCGAGGCCTCTCAAGGCCAGGCGGCCTCTCAAAGCCCTGGCCAGACCAAGGCCTCTGGCGGCCCTCCCAAGGAGAGAGTGCAGCCGAAAGCGCAGCCGAAAGTGCGGACGAGTCCAAGCACTCACCGCGACAGAGCTGCGCCGCCTGTGCCCACGGGAAGGCAGGGCGCTGCGCGCGCGGCACGCCCCTCGTCTGTCCCGCCTGCCCCTGAGAGTGGCTGCCGAGCGGCAGTGGCGTGGAATGTGGCTTCTGATTCTGTACTCTCAGGTGCGGAGGTGCCGAGTCAAAGCGGAAGCCGGGCGGAGTTTGCGAAGAGGGTCAGGTGCATCTGCATTGCATCTGACACCAAGCCGACCAAAGCCTTTGCCGGAAAGGCCAGCCGAGGCCGGGTTCTGAAACCGAAGAGGACCCAGGTGCAGCGAGTGGAATTGGCATGAAAGCTATCCAAGAGAGCTCAAGGGACCTAGATGGAGAAGCAGCGAGAAACGTTTTCCTGGATAGCTTTCCAGGGAGTGTCTTAACTCTCTGATCCCCTGGCTGACGGACGATGCAAGAGCTCAAGATGTGCGATAAGTACTCAACATTGATTTCCTCCATTCTATGAAGTCAGGTGCTTCTGTAGCAAGAAGACCTCGGAGCTTTTCTTGCCGTTCTGCAGCAGAGTTAACGAACATTCGGAGAGTTCTGAATGACTGTGCTGTGAGATCCCTGAATGCTTGCGGCAAATTTATTGGGAGGTGTTGCCGTCCATGATTGGAGGCAGACTCGCCTCTCAGTTTATGCTTCCCCGGACTCCGATCATCCTAAGGATGTGCGGGGCTCGCTTGGTGGAAGTCCTGGAAAAAGCGCCGATTGCAAGTGTGTCTCCGGTCGAAGCGTTGGGCGTTTCATGCCGCTTCAGTTTGACAACGGATTGTCCCCGCAGCCGCGTGGAAGCTGGCTTCTTGTCACTGGCAGTTGCCCTCGCCATTGATGCCGGCAAGCTTGCCTCTGCGATGGGGCCTGATGACAATTGGCTCCAACTCATGCTGAACATCACGCCCGCTCAATGTGGACCGGCGAGACTGCGGCACCGCGCAGATAATGCGTTTATGGTGACTATGGGTGCAAGGATCATCCAGATGTCCGGAGCTCACAGCAATGCGGGCAACCACAAAGCACGTGCATGTGCCGCCCTTGTGCAGCGACGTTGTGAGGCAGTCCGGGTTCGCAATGTTGGAATCCGCGTATGCCGCAGTCTTAGTAGAATTAGTAGACATACTGGGATCTCGTGTCGAAAGGAGCGTCTTGGTGGCAAGGTTCAGCCGAATGGGTCTGCCAACATCATGATGCGGCCTCCTAAGTTGCGCAATGGCATGGCTCAGATGCAATATCGATACGTCTCTGAAAGTTGAGCTGAGCCAAGGAAGAACATGATGGACCTCTTTGTAGGGGCAGTCGCCTACCTTTTGTGGGGTTACGAGATAGCCCACGGGGCCACGCACGCCACGTCCTTCATGGATCCAGGTTCTTGGCAAGCAATCTCCCGATGCCAGGATCTCAACTGCAAAAGCACCGGTAGCCAGAACCGAGGTTTGGACTTTTCTCACTGGTTTTGCAGTTTCTCATATGCCGATCTCTCAGACTGGCCATTCCCAGAACCGTTCCACCGTGCTACCGAGTGCCACCGAAGTCCCAAAGCTCACAAAAGGCGACCACGTCGGCGACAATCGACAGTGGAGTCCGGAGCCCCAGAACGGGCTTAAGGCTGCACACAGCTGGGAGAGCATGAAGCAGTCGCTACGAATGGGGGGCATTCACGGCTCACGACACCTCGCACAAGGGAAAAAAGGCAATGAAGACCCGGCCCCCTTTTCAGGACTATGAGCACCAAGCACGCATGGGCTAGCATGCCAGTGAGAGTAGGAGGAAGCTCGCCCCGTTTTTGAAAGCTTCGTTTTCGAGACCCGGAGTGGCAGGCGCTGGCAGGGAGGATTTCCTTCTGGGCCTATGTTACCCTGTCCACCGTCATGACAGGCAGGGGCATTCCGTGAACGATACAGGTCAATGGTTCTTCTCATGGTTTTTTTTGAGGCTTCACATATCCACTGGCAGCTCGATGGTGCTGGGGTGACGGGTGGCTGCAACAGATGGGCTTTGTCGACTTCGCAGGCCACACCGACACGGAGCAAGCCAGGTTACGATGTGTTTGCCAAACCGCTAATCTCGCAAGCGCCCGAAGGATCTGCAGTTGTCCACATGACCGGAGCTGTCAGTGCCCTCGCCGCGTGCTCGGACAATCGCCACAAAGACCGCTTGATTCGGCCCCTTGGCATCAAATAAGCCGATCAAGCTTTTTTGCCCAGGTGGCGGCCTGTTTCTGCGGTCCTCGTATCGGCCGTTTTCCAGATTACCGCTGCTGGCGGGGCCTTGGCCGACACTTCTTCATGGAGAGGTACGACTCCGAGTACTACCAGGTTCCAAAGGACCGCTTCTGAATTCACAGGGGCCGCTCAGATGAGAGGTGGGATGTCGAATTGGGAGTTTTCAGGAGCCAACAGAGAAAAACCTCTTCCGGCCGTTGCTTGGTAGCACGGCCATGCTGCGCCCCCGGGTCATGGTCAGAGCTTCCTAGGCCCACAGCAAGAGCCCAGAGCTCAAGCATGACGACCATGTGCGGGCTTGGATACGACTGCGCGAGAGATGGATCGACCTGAGGTTTGTGAAATGCCGCCATCCTGTTCAACTGCTTTTTGGTACCTGGCTGCTTTTGGTCGGGTTTCTGGCCTTCAATCCAGCCTCCACCTTGGCAGTGACGCAGGACGACGGGATCTCTGACACGATGAACACGACCATGACTCCTTTCGATCCCGAAAAGATCTTAGCATTCCCGTCCCATGACTGCAGAGATGTGAGGACTCGGACTTGGTGATTGGACGTTCCTCCGTGTGCACGTTGCTTGCGGCTTCTGGCGGCGGTCTTGGCGGCATGCTCTGGTCCATGGCCACAACGAGAAGTAGCGTGGTACTGGTTCCAGAGGTCAGCAATGCTGCCTCTCGGAAGTGCTTAAGTATTCATTTTGCTAGTATCTCGCGTGCACATGCCATGTTTTGGTGGCTGTTGCTGGCTGTCTTAAGTACATCGTTGTGCAGCTTGTTTCTGTCTCGAGATCTTGTACGGCACCAAGTCAAGTCAATCAACGTGAAGCATCTACACCTGTTCTATAGAGCTGTGGGTAAGTCCTGTACGTGTTTGGGAGAGCGTTCGCCATTTGCATCTGCGGGCTGAAGACACGAGCCGAGGTCATAGCTGCGCTGGTGGCCAGCTGCGCTTGCTGCAACATCGTCTCGCCGGTGATTTCGATGTTTGTCGGATTTGTCGGAGCAGTGCTTGCTCTGCTTTGCGAAGAACTTCTGATTCGTTTGCAGATTGATGATCCGGTTGGGGCGGTGTCGGTGCACGGCCCTCCTGGGGTGTGGGGAGCCGTGGCCGTGGCATTCTTTGCCGAGCCGAACTGCCAAAGCGACTTGCGGGGTTTGTTCTACGGCGCTGGAGAAGCTGGCTGGGAGCTGCTGGCCGTCCAGCTTTTTGGTGTACTTGCCATGGCCGCGGCTTGGTGTGATGTCAGGTCCTGTTTTGCGTTTGCTCTTTTTGTAAGTTCTCGAGCATGTTCAAGCTGCAGCCTGGAAGCTGAGTATGAGGCCATGTCAGCCGCTATCACCTACATCAGCGTGCTTATCCTCGACCGCTCCGTTGGCTTTCGTTGCAGCCGCGCCGCTTCGCTGGGCTAGTCTTCGTAGTCCATCTTCCCGAGCCGCAAAGCAGCTTTCCAGGGGGTGTCTGTGCTCGTCCGAGGCTTGCGAGCTCATCGGGCTGGACTCCTGGAGCTCAATTCAGCTCGTTGGGAAATGTCTCAGAGGTAGACACCAAGGCATCCTTCACAGCACATGTGAGCCACGAGATTTGGCAGCATGACTGATAGACCAGCTTTGTGTGGCTGAGATTGACAAGGACTTTTGGGAGCACCAATTCGATGACGGGAGCGTGGCCGGTGACAACCCAATGAAGAGGTCTGCTTTACCGACCACTGGGGTTGGGGTGTGTTGCATGGTGTTGCTCATGGGTGTGGGTCTGTGCATGATGCATTGATGGTGTCAGCTGTGTTGCTGGAGAGATTGAGGCACGTTGAGCGCCAGTTGCCAGGATGTCTAGTTTCCGCAAGACTTTCCACAGAGCATCTTCCTGCTGCTATTGTGGCGGCGCTCCAGAAGTGGAAGAAGACTCGCCCCCGCAGCCCACGATCACAACATCGAAGGTGGCAAGCACGAACTTGGATCAAGTTTCCGTAGTGCTCACATCAGTTTAGAAAGCGTTTGATGTTCCTGCTGCTACTGCTGCTCTCGGAGGCAGTTGGCATTGCTTCGGATCTGGATCACATGGAGATGTCAATGAAGATACGAGCATTGGAAGCCAAGATCGAGCACTTGACCATGGCTTTGCAGGGAGGAGGTACCTCGGAGGATGTCTTCGGCGAGGATATCTCCCAGTCATTCTCCCAGTCCTTCCGCGCGGCCTGCATCAATGCCTATGTGGACAAGATGACCGACGGGCCATCGAAGTCCCACCGCGCTGCCCAGGCTGACCACGCCGACGAGGGCCATCAATGCGTGCCCTCTGAAGCAGCCGCTGCTATGTGCGATATGCATGAGGTGAGGGCTTAGTGCACGTCCGCTAGATCACGCTGGGGTGTAGGACTTGTGCACATCGGAAATGCAACCGATTGAGCAGATCTTTCCGCTAATGTCCCCCCCAGTCGTGTTGTTCGTGCTGTGTTTACACTGTGCTCTCTTCCGCTTTTCCCGTTGTATTTCGCTCTCGGAGCCTCTGCATGTTTTTGTGGCTGGAGGCTGCGGAGCAGGCGGCCGAGAGAGATTTTAAGTCACGTGGCGTCGTTGGTTTTAGCTCAAGTTCCATGTGGACACCTCCACCTCAGCCTGCAAAACGGTCGAAGACCACAGGCTGCGTGTTGACGAGGGTCGCTCAGGGCTATGGCGGCTATGGCAAAAGCTCAACCCCAGGGAGTGCTCTGCACAGCCGCTCTTGCCAGGAGTCGAAGAAGGGCCTTGCGTTGTATTCATACCTCAGAGGGACCAAGATCGAGAAAGGCTTTCCTGCTTTCCTCCATCTGGGGCACGGTACCTCCGATGTTGGTGCCTTGTCGGCATGATGGGGACATGTTGTGGTCGGTCCCTCCGCCCTTCGCAGTCATCAATGTGTCCCCAGGGCTTGCCTGATGATCGATGGGTGGAGCAGATGAGCGCGCAGGCAGTGCGGAATGAATGTGAGAGCGATGCGGCATGGTTCCCTGTAGTGCACATTACGCCGTAAATGACTAAACGTGCGTGAACTCCATGCATGAGTGTGAAGCACAGCAACAGCGTGACAACATAGCAGAACCGCACAAGTTGGCTTCAGGCGCTTCCCACCTGCCAGCCCTTTCGTTTGCGGCACCGTGCGGATGTCGCCTTCATCGTCACCATGGCAGCGCGTATCATCCAAATGCTGCTCGCCTCAACCCTGTTCTGTTCCAACACAGCCCTCCGACTGTCCCCTCGTTAAAGACCCCGTGCACCTTCTAGGTGACTTCAAGCTTAGGCAATCCGGCTTCGCGATGCTCGAGTCTGCGTATGCGGCAGCCTCTGTAACGACTCCATCAGGTGGTCGAAAACACCTCTGCCAGCCCAGGCTCAGCCGAACAACTCCGCCAATATCATGATGCGAGACCCCTACTGACATGCTGTACACTACCTGCTCACATTTCTCTGCGGACGGTTTAGTGCAGTACATTAAGGAAGAACATGCTGGACCTCTTTATCGGTGTTCTGGCCTTCTATTTGTTTGGCTATTGCATTGCCTACGGAGACACACATGACGTGGGCTTTGCTGATACGGGTGCGCACCTCTGCTTCTCTGCAAGCCACTTGGTGCAAAGGATTGTGTGTCGTCGGCTCAGGTTACGACTTGGCGCATTGGTTCTGCAGTTTCTCTTATGCAACAACGGCAGCCACTATCAACAGCGGTGTCCGGCTCTCAGCCTCAGCAAAGGTTTGCTCCTCGTACCGGCTGAATTTCAGCCTCTCGCAATGAGCAGGCTCTTGCCGGACGCGTGGCCTTCTTCCCTTACTTGGTCTTATCGACAGTGATGACAGGCAGGTTCGGGATCAGAGACGAGCAATAAGAATACCGACAAGTTTTGCAACATGGGAACATGCGTAGCAGTGAACATCTAAACTCGCACGTCCTACGCAGTGTGGAGCTGCGAGGGCCCTGTGATCGAGTGATGCTCGTTAAAAAGCCTCGAGCGATGTCCCCCGAGGCGTCGTGTACCCAATCTCTGCGCGCCTCGTCTGGGGCGGCGGCTGGCTCCAGCAGATGGGCTTCGTCGACTTTGCAGGCCTTCTCTGTGCGGAAGAGAAGCACTGAGACGTGGACGTAGTGAGCAGAACTTAGAGTCTAGAGGCTCGGCCACCGTCCACTTGGTCGGGGCCGTGAGCGCCGTGGCCAGGGCCTTGCGGAGACTGCGAGCCCAGAGGACATGCAGTGCATTGAGGTCGCCACGTGCTTCGTCGGCCCACGCATTGGGCGCTTCAAGGAGTACCGTGCTTGGCGAGCGCCCTGGAACGTGATCTTCTTAGAGAAGAACGACGACAAGTACTACCGGGAGCCTGAGGACGGCTCCTCAGGGTGTTTTGGGCTTGGGATTGCAGCTCCGAAGCAGCCCTTCTGATCACAAGCTGCCTGACCTCAGGCGCCCGTGGAGAAGAAAGTCTTTGTGCCTTTCCGGCGGTGCAGGCACCCAGTGCAGCTGCTCTTCGGCACCTTCCTCCTGCTTCTCGGATTGGATACAAACCCCGTTTTTGCGGATGAGTGTCGAGAGACTTCCGGGAATGCTTGAGGCTCGTGGGATTCCTGGCCTTCAACCCTGCTTCGACCTTTGCCACCACCGCCGACAAGGACCTCACCGTGGCCTACAGCTCTGCTCGATCCCCAGCCTCATCACGGGCCCCCCCCTTGGGTCCCTCGATGTCGGCTCAGGTCACGACGCTCTTGGCTTCAGCGGGAGCGGGGGTGGGAGGCCTTTTGGGTAGATGCCGAGGGCACGCCGAACCTTAAGTATTGGTGAAGGGTGCTGGGCTAGCTGCGAGACCAGAAGCGTGCTGTGCGCCTGTGGGATAGGCATGCTCTTCTCCGTCGTCTCGGCGCGGGCAGCAGTGGTGCGAGTCCCCGAGCTGACCAATGCTGTGGTCGGAGGCAACAGCGCGCTTCGTAGCCAGCAACACCCAAAAAGCAAGCCGCTGTGTCCACGTCCGTGCAGGCTTGGTAGCCAGCTGCGCATGCTGCACGGTCATCCCCATTCCGATAGCTCCGCTGGTGGGTTTCGTGGCTGCCCTGCTGACTTTGAGCGTCGAGGAAGTGCTCGCAAGATTCCAGATTGACGATGCCGTCGGCGCTGCCCCTTGAAAAGGAGATTACTTGTAGGTAGGAGAGCCTTCAGGCCTTCAGGCAGAAACTCCTCTACCCGGCCTGTCGCCAGATTTCAGGTCGCGGCCCACGGCCCAAGTGGCGCGTGGGGAACGCTGGCTGTCGCTCTTTTCGCCGATAAGCACTGCGGCGATAATCATGACTATTCCGGCATCTTCTTTGGGGGCGGCGATGCAGCGTGGCGCCTTCTGGGCGTCCAGGCGGGACGCAGCTTCCCGTCTCTGGCTCGGAATGGGTCCCGCCATCACGTGCGGTTGAGTGCTTGAACGCATGTCTTCTTGTGTATGCATTTTCATACAAACCCCTGATAGGGGTAACAGGGAGGGGGGTAGGGGACTCTTCTTCCTTTAACAGGCCTCATTAGGTCCTTACTACTCATATTAAGGCCCCCTTACCCCCGTCCTCTTACCCCCTATCCTTATGCATGATGTTTGGTTGTGGCACTTGGGTTTTCATCCGGGAGATCGTCACTCAGTCAGAGTAGAAAGAGCAGATAAACCGCAAGCTTTCTTGCGGGCCCTCAACGAGAGCACTACCGAGAGCACTACTCGTACGCGAGCAAAGCCTCTGATGTATGCACGGGCTGTCAGCGAATTTTGTGTCTAGACTTGTTCCTGTTCACCATACACCAGCTTGACTACCTGCTACAGGCGCTCGGCATTTTGGTGCTCATGGCCATATCCCTGATATCCACCTACTTCGTCGTGATGTTGGTGGACCTCTTGTTCGGATTCCGCGTCTCGCGGGCCTGCGAGCTGATCGGCCTGGACACCTGTCGGGTTTTTGAGGTCACATCTGACATAGGACATCTTTCATATCATAGCATTTTGCCAGCGGCCTCTGTGAGGACTTCTGGGAGCACCAGTTCGACGATGGCAGCTTGGATGCCGGCAGTCACAAAGCCGCGCTCTATGGGCTGTCGAAGATGCGCGAAGATCTTAGTCGCCGATCTCGCTACCTGGAGGTTTCCCCGAGGAAGTGGTGGACCCTCCCTAAGGGTCTCTCCAGTTCTTCTTCTGCGCCCGCGAACCTCAGCGAGGCCTCCACTACGGATGCCGAACAAAGCACAGCGGCTGAGCCGGAAAGAGAGGGTGGCCCAGACCGAAAAATGGAGGAGCTGACAAGGAAAGTTCAGGCCTTGGAGCACCAGATCTCTCTGCTCACCATGGGGGCCTTAAGGAACGCCCAATCAGCCGAGCCCGGGACCTTCGAGGACATCTGCGGCCGGGGCGTGCGAAGCGAGATCTGCATTCCGCCGTCGCCCACGGAGCCCGGCGCCAGTGAGCCCAAAGCACATAAAGTCGTTCCGTAAAGGGAGCAGGAGCTCGACTCTGCTCATCTCAGCTCTGCCTCCTTCGGCTTGCAAGGCCACGGGCACTTGCATGGACCGGAGGACTGGCAAAGAGTTTCTTCCATCGGGACATTGCTTGTGAGTAGAAAGTCTGGAATTCATTTGCATGTTTGTGCGACCTTCCCTGCTGCCCCAAGCTGGGCAGCAAGCCCGGTCTCAAAGACACGACGCGGTTCGGAACAGGTATTCGGGTTACTTCCCAAGTCTGATGGTTACCTGGCGAGATCTACCAAAGATCAGTCATCCGCTGGGAGCCTCCTCACCGTCGTGCACTTTTCTTCCGCGAAGTTCAGGGTTCATGAAGCCTGAGCTCATCACAGTCTCGCCATCGGATGGTGATGATCGGCACAAGCCCGACCATGGACTTCACGCATACCGCAAGCCGCATACTGCGAGCCGCATACTGCATGCCGCATAGTCGCATAGTCGTGTGCAGAGGTTGCGGCCTAAAGACGTTTCTCAAAGGCGGTCCAGGTCTCTGATGTCAGAACTAGTCCCCAGACAGTGACTCAGTGCCACGTGGGTTAAGTGCAAAGGCCGGGCGATGGAGTCGCAGCCAGGGCCCCTCAAAAGCAGGTGCCAGGCCAAAGACCCCTGAGACGTCTTCCTGCTCTGCAGCACTGGGCGCATCATCAGTCGGCCAGGGCTACAAAGAGAGGCTTTGTCAGAGAACGCTTGTGTCATGCATGATTTTATGATGGGCTTCTGAAAAAGCAAACGCGAAATATGGCAGGCAACACCTTCAGTGTATGCAATCGGTCGAACTTAGGTTTGTGTGATGTGAAGAGATGACAACGAAAGCTATTGGGATGCTCTTGCTGGCGATGCGGCTGCTGACACAGATTGGTTTCCTGCTCTGATGTTTCAAAACGCTTTGAGTATTGGGACTTCAATTTCGAGTTGTTCATGATAGAGCTTTAGCTGCCCCGACCACTTCGCCCCCAAGCTTATAGCCTGAGCTGTATTGCGGTCGCAGTCTGTGGCACGTGGAATGCGGATCACCTCGCGCCTTGCTAGAAGCTGCCGGAAGCCGGAGAATCATTCCAAGCTGCTGCCTGTTGCGAGCCACGTGTTTTCGCAGTTGTTTGCTGGTGTGTGTTGTTCGCTGCTCCAGACTTCAGACAGTCTTCGGCAGTAAACCCTACGCCCCAGGCCTGAACCACAGTAACCATCATGGAATCATGGGCAATGTCTCGTTTCAGTGACAGTTGACGTGCCAAGCTGCGGCAGACACGACCGTGCTTCACGTTGATTTCGAGCCGTTAGCTCCAAATGCAAGGCTGTAGATCCTTAAACACCCACAAGAGATTTGAACATCGAGATGTCGTGCAACCTAAGTCTAAACTTGATAAGTCGGTCGGACCCTTACAAACCCCCAGCCTATTCGTAAACCCTAACCCTTTCGTCGCCTTTGGGTTCAAACTTGGGCTCAATGAATCTTGCTGCCGGCACTCCTGGAGCCTGGTTGGCTCAGCACGATTAGCGGATATTAGCGGCAAAATCTGATGCTCATTGCTCAATTCGCCTGCCGGCGAAAGCAGGGTGCTTTTGTTTTTTTGAGTTGCAAAGACTGAAATCCCCCTGTTGGTCGTTCTTATTGAAGAGCACCGTGCGAGTTGAAGCCAGATCTCGGAAACGTTTTCGACCGGCTGCAGGTCTGATCCTAACTGAGTGTGCGAGCCACAACGCTCGCGAAAATGCCAATTACTAGGCTCAAATACCCCCAACCAGCGCCACGACGACTTTTACCATTTAGCACCCACACATATGTTGAAACTGCTGCATGCACCGCAGTTCCAAGTACCTCCGATACAGCTTGCGCCTTCGAAGTTGCAGCACCATATCCTGTATCAGAACCCAAACCACCCTGCGGAGCTCCGTTTGTCAACTTGCGTCTTGGCTGTTCATAACCTCGAAGTGAGTCACGACTTCCACAGCTTCAGCTAAGCGCAGGACTCAGCGCACCATGTAAGCTCTTACTGGCACCTTTTCTCACGCCAAACGACAACATTAAGCCTCGGAGCGATGATCAGCATGCGCTTCATTTGCTCTATCTTACCGCTTCTTTGATAGTGCTGGCACTCACAGGCCATGTCGAAAGATTTTTGCCAGAGGCGCGTCGGATCAAGCACCAGCCTTGCGAAGAAGAAGATGTCTATATCTATGTATGTATACATATATATATATACATACAGAAAATGCAGGGTTAGTATTCCTGTGTTGTTGTACAAATATAGACGCAATCTTTCTCTTTCTAGTCATAAGATGTTACGCCGACATACACTCTATATATGTATATATATATATATATATAGATGTATATATATATATATTATGTTTATATATACACATATGTATGTAGACAAACATATGTATACGTACATGCATACATACGTACATACATACATACATACATACATACATACATACATCATAGTTTTCAGTTTTGTATTGCATATCATGCATTCAGACTATTATATAACATATGAGAATTTGAATTTTGCATACTGTATGATGCGAATTATACATTGAATCTCAGAAGTTCCAACATAGTACAAATAACATATCAGAGAGTTGTATATCACATACCATATAGGTTGTATGTTTCACAGTAGTGATTACCATGGTCCGCGTTTTCTGATAGCTGCTATACACTGTGGAGCTATACGGGCGTACTCGAGCATATTCGAGCATACTCGAGTGTGATCGAGCTTACTTGATCATACTCGAGCATACTCGAGCGCATTCGAGCATACTCGAACATACTCGAGTACACTCGCACGTGCTCGAGCGTATGCGCGAGTACTCGGAGTGTAGTCGGCCCATCTTGTCCGCAATGCCCATATGCACTCTTTTCTCACATCGCAAGTCGAATCACAAGTCGAAGCAGCATCACATCTTGAAGTTTTTTGCACTCGCAGTCCAAGGTCAAGGCCAGACCGCACATAACATGGACACAAGTCAAGTGGAACTGGAACCTTCATCGCAAAACTTGACAGCAGAGCCAGCTACAATTTACAACTCCAAGTTCAGTGGACACCATCCTCATTTTGGTAGCCATGTTTGACCTTTCGCCACCAGAGAAATTGCAGCGACGATCCGCGTCGCTGGCCTCATCCGCCGGGTATCGAGGTGTTAATTGACCAAGCTTGATTTACGTGCGGCATCTTCACGTTCAGCAGTTTAACATGTCCTGATAGGCAGGGAGTTCAGCAACAGCCCGTAATACCGTTGACTAGTGCGTTGCCGGTTTTGGTGCTGGCACCATCTTGCTAACCTGAGTTGATTTTCATGGCTCAACGTGCATCATCCGAGCATCAGCTTGTGCACGAGGCATCTTTCTTGGACTGTCCTAAACGGGTGCTGGCACCAAGCTTGCGCACTTCCTGTGGTGTATATTGGCTCAAATGTCATCGCTCTAGAGGTCTTCAGGACATGGCAAAGAGCTATCAGGGGTTTCGGTAGGTGGGAAGGTGGGACACGCAAGTCGGCCGACAGATGTTGGTGGCATGTTGCACAGCTCTCAACACCCAGCAAGAAGCTTCCGGTCGAAATCATGACGTTGTCTTGAGCCATGGATCGCCCGCAGACAGCTCCGGCAAAAAAGACTTCAGCCATCGCCAGCGGCCCCACAGCACCTCGCCAAGAATGCAGACTGTTTGCAGCATCCCACAATGTCCTGCAACGTGGTAGGTCGAGTCCACGGACTTTTCTGGCAATTCTGACAGCTTGGAACAGTGCCTCGCAGAGGTTCCGAAGGTGCCTGGGTGATGCAGACAACGGCTTCCCGCAGCTAGTTTTACTTCTGTTTGTCTGTTGCATCCTACCGCAGTCGCCTCTATGCCTACATCGCAGTTTCTACTACCGACTTTCGATTTTCTTGCATACTTGCCTTATGAAGCCTCGTTTGCATACCAGATCCAGAACCCCGAAGCTCCGGGACTGGGAACCTCGACAACGCCATCGCGAGGAGCAGCCTGATGAGCTTTGGCCAACACCACTATGGCCGGGACACTTCTGCAAGAGGCCATTTGCCGTTGATATATCGCATAAGTGTACGAACAGACGCAAGATGTACATTCTGCATAAGCAGCGAACACATCAATACGCAGACGAATGCACAATGTATATATGCATGGACACACACATGCATACATGCGTCCATCCATCCCTTCATACATGCATTCATGCATGCATTACATGCATGCCTACATACATACTCATATGTACACTTGTAGTAATCGTATCTTTGTTTTGTTGCACATACAAATGCACGTGCACGGCCACTTACGCGTGCATGTACACATAGCACATAGACATAAACATAGACATTTGCGTACACATACACATACACATACATGTGCACATGCACATGTGCATGCACATGTGCATGCGCGTGCACCTGCACCTGCACCTGCGCCTGCACCTGCACCTACCTATACACACACACGTACACCTACATATACGCATACATGCACCATCATGCACCTACGTACATGCACCTACGTACATGCACCTACGTACACATACCGACGCAGACATACACATATACAGACATACATATATATATATATATATACACACATATTTTTATGACCATATGTGTATATATATATATATATGTATATATATATATGGGTAATGTTATATCCCCATGCATTTCTTGGTCTCGCACAGCAAATCACACATTTAGGTACCGAACCACTCGAAGGATCAAAACGAATGGTGCAATGGTGAGTAATGTTTCTTGGTTTACTGGTTGCGGGCTCTACCCGTCGCGTGGTAAACTGAATGTTTGAAGGGTCGAAAGCACTGGGTTTATAAACCAATGTTGTGGTTTTTAAACTTTGTGAGGGTCCCGTCTCACAAGAAACCACCCATCTCATCAGTATTTCATCAACACCGAAATCCGAAATTTCGATTGTTTAGGTGTTTCAAGAAGATTGAAACTGCAACAAAGCGCGGCAAAGACTAAGAGAGTAGATGGTCCCATGTATCCGGCATTTATTCGGTTTATGAGCAATGATGCCGTTGTCAGAATTCGCATATCCCCGGGACCATATGCATATTCCCACGGCTTTAGTGGAAGGCCGTGCTGCAGGATCTTTCTTTCTCATGATCTGACCGTTCCAGTACATGGAGTTACAAGAGAGAAGGCAATCTATGTACATATTAAGCGAATAGGCACCTACATGTCACTCATCCAGGATTCATAGTGTGGAACACGACGCGGCTGCTACCGGGGTTACACTGGCTCAGTACTTGTCATCAGCATTGGAATATCAAGCTACACAGAAACTTGAGATACGATTCACAAGACCTCATTGTAAGGGGAGACAGTATTTTTGTTTACAACTTGGTTAGGTTTCATCACTGGGTATATAGACGAATTGGTTGCAACGTTATGCACAAACATCATTCCAAGGAAGCGGGATACTTGCAATATATGGGGATGGACCCTCTTTGGGGAGGAATGGAGCGGTGTTCTTCAACACTTTGTCTATAACGAGGAATGACCTTCTACGTTCTGGACTGGGGCAATGGCTTCTAATAGGGCTCCAGTCAATGTTCACGAGAACACAAACATGAATGTGGTAGGGCGCGGGACTGGCAAAGTCAACAGTAGATAAGGCTGATACGAATATCATTGTATACAGGAAAAGCAGTACTTTGCATCCTCCAGAGTGCTTCTGCTCTGACAGTTCGGACACGGTACATGAGGCTGTATGGTTCGCAGTCCGCTCTACGAGATGGTTCGGGTATGCTGATACAAGAAGCAAAGGCAAAACCTACCTACCTGTGTACACACATACGTACGCACGCACGCGCGCACTACGTACATCCATGCTAGTGTCACTATTGCTATTGCCATTACGAGTACTGCTACTGTTCCTATTGCCTTTGCCATCACTATCGCCAGTACCATTGCCATGTCCAGTACAAATAACTTTATGCATAATGGCGTCTTTGATACTAGTACCCTCACTAGTATTTGCGTTTTTTGTTTTTGTTGTTGCCGATAGTCGCTGTCCTTTTTGGAGAAGGTCCCTGCTTCAGCTCCGGGACTCGAGCGGCCTGGCCACGCAGCAGCCCCCCTACTGCTTTGCGGTCCGCTACGACATCAGGCTCGCAAGCGACGCTGACGCTAAAGACTAAGCCCCGAAGCTTTAACTCGTAGGGTCCTGCTCTCTCAGCCGAGTCTTTTTGAAGTCCAGGCCGCTGGTGAAGCAGCTCAGCGAGAAGTCTGCCTACTTGATGTTGCTGGATGGCGAGAAGCTACGGCACGAAGCCCCAGCATAAAAGCCTTTTCAACAGCTCAGTAACCCAATTGCTTCGAGGCGAATCGGCCGCGGTTCTGGCGTGGACATCATCGCTGCGTCCAAGTGTCGATCCCGGGATTGCTCGCGTGCTTAGGGCCTGGGTTCCGGGCTTGTGTCCTAGCATCCGGGGCCTGTGGTTCTGCCGACATCATCGAGATGACATGTTTCCCACAAGCTGTGCTCGATCGAAGATCTACTTTGCTTAGAAGACATGACGTGAAGTCGGAGCGACTGTCGAAATTGCTGAACAACTCCTAATCACATCGGCCAACGTGTCCTACACAACGGAAAACGGAGACCGTTCAAATAGGTACTGGAGTTTCATCGCCAGGTGCAGTGGTGTAGGGTCAAGGCCTGGAGTACCATCGTCAGGGAGGAGAGTGTTGAAGAAGACTGGTGTCATCCAAGGTCCTGGGTCGCGTGGGGGGCGTTGTGTGCGCAGCCACTTCTGCTTACTCGTGATGCCCAGCCTTCCTGACTTGTTGTAAGCTGCTTGGGCCTTTTGATCCTGCGCTGCTCCATGCCCATGCCAGGGGCAAGCTCGTCGGGGAAGCACAGGTGCAACCCGAGCTGGATTGCCACGCGAACGGCGAGGGGGTGCCCTGCCCTGCTCTCTCTCTCTCTCTCTCTCTCTCTCTCCCTCTCTCTCTCTCTCTCTCGTTGTGCAGGGTTCAAGAGACGCTAACCATCTGGCTGCAGGTATTGCTCATGACAGTGGCACCTGGCTCAGCCGAGAGGTCTTGTGCCGTGGGGCCATGGTCCGGTCAAGGTGCTGACCTCCGACATCAAGAACCGACAGCTCTGGCAGACTGCCGGTGATCTCATGAGCTACCGCCTGGGCAGTGGCTTGGCTGCCAGCGCTTCTCGTATGGTCCGCCAGTGCTTCGTGTCTGAGGCCCACAGGTGCTCTGTGGTTTGTGCAGCATGGCAGTGCCCATGCGTGAGCTCAGCGCCCATCAGAGCCACCAGTGCCGAATGGTGCTCTCGGCCTGCCGCGCCCTTGGCCCTTGGCAGCGTGGCCGGTCTGCACATGGCCGTTCTTTCCCGGAGTGCGGTCCTGCCAGGTCCTCGCTGCCACAAGGAGGCCCATCTCTTGGAACAGCCGCCATTGTCTTGCCGCATCGTGCCTTTCGACTCGACAAAGGTACCGATTCGTGAGCTGGCGGCGCATCAGGCACCTCCTTTGCCTTCTGACGGGTCTGGAAACCAGCGGCTGCACAAGGTCGGTCCAGATTGCCTCGGCACCTCCAGCATGGGAACACAGACGCTGGAGACCCTTGCCTGCAACTGCTGCGACGAGTTGCCCAAGCTCGGCTCCCCCACGTTTCCTTGCTACCATTTCCCGCCGAGGAAGAAGGTGCAGGATGCTCCGTCCCAGTGCAGTGCGCCTGTGCTTCTACCTGCAGGCAAGCGCCGCCAAAAACCCTTCTTTTGTGAAATACCACGAGGGGCTTGCAAAGCAATGTGCAGAGGTGTGCAGACTGGCTATGCACTCTATGCGCCAGAGAACCTTCGCTCCGAGGCTTCCGGCCCATGCCACGGGCACTCGGGTTCCGTTCCGTTCTGAGAGACGTCGCGCTCGCAGGAGCCGGTGCCAGCCTTGGTTCCTTCGGCTGCGGTGCGTTGGACGCGGCCGGCGCCGGAGGCAACGGAAGCGAACCAGGGAATTCTTGCCGCGCCGGACCGGATGCGGAGCAGGCCCGGCCCCGGGAGTACCAGCTCTCCATCTTCGAGTTCCGTGGGGGCGATGCGGAGGGGCAGTGGCTCCGAGCCGAGGGGGCTTTTGGGGGCGCGCTAGCTCTCTAGGTCAGCAGAAAGAAGCCCTAAACCGCCTAAACCCTATAAGCCCTAGAGGCCCCATAAGCCCCATAAACCGAAAAAGGAATCCGATACCGAAAACAAGCGGCTCTGAGAGCCTCCCTTTTTCGAGTGGCTCTCAGGTCGAGGCTTCGAGTGGAGCTTTTGGAGATGTGGAGCTTGGAGAAGCAAGGACCTGCAAAAAGACACGGGGCACTTGAAGGGTTCAGGGATGTTGAGGGTTTGGGCTGTAGGGGCCGAGCCGAGGGACGAAGCAGAAGCATTTGCTTCACTTTGGGCCTCAGTAGCCCGTCTTCTGCACATGCAGCATGCAGCAGGGGCATCATCGACTCTTCTGCCACTTGTGCGAAGGATTGCGAGGGGAGTTACGGCACGAGCTGACGCATCTGCGCCCTGGCACGAAGTACCGCCTCGAGCTTCAGCCACGTGCCGGGCGCCCAGAGAGCAGGAAGAACAGAAGAGGAGAGAGTGGAGATGAGTGGAGAGGGGAGGAGGTCTGGACCTCGGCTCTTAGGCCCCGGATTCAAGCCTGGGCCCAGCGGCCGCGGTGGTGCTGACCACCCTCAGCCGCCTAGCAGGCCCCGGCAGGGCTCCGATATCTCAAAGCGGGGAGCATCTTAGATGCTTCTGTGTGTCAGGCTTTGAAGGCTTCTCCGCAGAGGACAAGGTGGCCCACATTTGGCATGATGCTGGGAATGTGTCGGAGATCCGCCGGTGTTCTGGGTGCCACATGAGGCCACCCTCGAAGCGGTTCCGCAGCCCCTCAGGGTCGTTGGCTTAGCACTTCGCAAAACACTTCTTAGTCTGAGAGTCTGAGGCGGGTCGCCCAGAGTCCATCAGCCTCCGGGAGCAATCCACACAGGCGGGTCTGGGCTTCGTCCAAGGCGGGCCCGCAGGGATCCCGACGCGAGAATCCCCAAATCTGTCGAACGTCCCCGAAGCCGAAGGAGCCTGCAAGAGCGAGATTTGCAGAGAAATCGGAGTGCAAGCATTCCCGACCGTGCTGGAGGAGGCGCTACATGGCACTGCGATCTTGACTTCAGCTTTTTTTGGTTCTGCCAGGCCGCCTGCCAAGTGGATCCGATTATTCCGGTGGGCTGCTCAGGATCCTCGAAACCTCGGAACTCACAGAAATCGGAGTGGTGCTCGTGATTCTCAGGTCACACAGGAGATTGCGTGCGGTGAGGAGTGGGCCTCCTACACCAACACCGGCACACAATGCAAGGCTTCACGGCGTTTAGAATGCTCTTGTTTCCTCGTAGAAGAGATGCCGAAGGGTCACTGTTGGGAGTGTCAGGCTCCGACGGCAGAGACTTCGGTGCAAAGCACCTCGGACGCTCAAAGTTCGTGGCAACGGCAAGCGCTTGCATCTCTGGTTCAAGCCCTCAGGTGCGTTGCAGGTGGGACACAGCTCTTGCCAGGCCTGATTCTACATGGACAGAGACAGAGAGAGAGTTTCTGTCATAAGGGGAAGTCATACCGAGATCCGACCCTACTCGACGGACCTACGCTCAAAGGACCAGCGAAAATGTTGGAAAGAGGCACGGAAGGAAGGAAGGAAAGAAGGAAGGAAGAAAGTCCGAGTCTAACCTCCTAGAGAACCTTCTGCCTAGAGCATTGGCTTCTTTTCCGGGGAAATGCAACCTCGACTAGCCGTAGTATGGTCAAGACGACCAATAAAACCCATCGTGGGAATTGATATTCTGGTGTACCCGAGGACTGCCCAGCATAATTAGGGAGACGAGATCCAGGCAAAGTCTCCTGCATTGCATCCCGAAAGCCCTGTACATGTGCCTGGTCGGCGCGGGAGTCTAACCAGAGAGATCCGTAGAGAGACAGGCGCAGTTTCCTCCTCGGCCCATCACCGGGGACCGGATGGCCGAGTTGGAGATGGACATGCAGGCAACGAGCAGATGAAGAAGCCTTCGCAACAAGATCCTCCTGACCAGGCGGCACTTCCTGGGACTCGCGCCGTGCTGCACCAGGCCCTGTGGGCCCTGTGGGCCCTGTGCTGTGGCCACCGGCTCTCACTGCTAGGTGGGGACCGCCGAGTTGATGCGACTCTGCTTGGCCGTCCTGGCCAACCTTCTGGCGTGCCTTCTTCTGATTTACACACTCCGTGGCTGCCGTGGCTCGCGGTCTTTCGAGATCCAAGGCTGGCAAGCATTCTGCTGGCGGAGATCTCGCTGGAGGAGCTATGGCTATGTGCACTTCCATGTTCGCTTCGCCTGCCCCTCCTCGCCCTGGCCTTCCAACACATACCAACACGTACAGTTGTCTCCGCAGGAAATATCCACAAGCAAGTCGTTTCAAGAGGAACCGAAGCCACAAAAAGCAGCGCTTGATTCCAACACACTCGTGTTGACAGCAGATGGCAGGAGCTGTGGCCCATGCTTTCTGTTCTCCTCCTGGTGATTCCCCTCAACGGCTTGGAATTTGCATTCTTCGAGGCCTGTCGATGTGTGGTCGCTGAAAGCCGCAAGTTGACGGCTACTGATACTGCGGTCAGACTTTGCGGCTCAAGGGCATCAGTAGCTATTGCAAGCATGCGCGGTACCACGATAACTCGCCTAATGCCTGATGCATGAAGCTCTCGCAAAATCTTCGCCACCCATACGCGTTGCGACGTATTTCTCCCCATGGCGCCCGCGCCGTCGGACGAGACCTTGTTGCAGCTCTCTGTGAAGGAGAACGAAGGCTTCCAGAAAGTGCAGACATGGAGTCGGGTGCTCACCGCAGGAGCTCGCTGCTGCCATTGCCTGTGAATCCGTTTCTGCAGTGCAGGCCCGTCTGACGTTTGTTCCTTGGAGTTTGGGTATTCAGCTTGCGTTGTCAAGGTGCTCACTGCGTTTCGTCGCCGTGCAGAAGTGATTCACAGCGCCTCGTCCGCTACTTCAGAGCACAAGCAATGTCCGTCGTACCGACAGACATGCAGGTGCCTGCAACTGTGTGCTGTGCTTCGTGGAAGAGTCGTGGCAGAGGGCGGAAGAAGCCGCCACCTGGCTGTGTGCCAGCGACTCGGTGTACGGAAACAGCAAGTGGCTTCTTAGGACAAATTCCTGCGGGAGACGGGGAACCTTCTTGGGCCCCTGCATGGTGTGCCCTGCTCCATCAAGGACCGCTCTTTCCGTGAACCCGCCCCTGTTCATGCAGTCGCACAGTGTGTTTGCGATGGTTTGCGTGCCTGTGGGCTCTGTTGCCGATGCTCCGGTGAACAGGACCACGTGGCACTGAAGGGTCACCCGGTCACTATGGGCCTGCGTTCACTCCGGGAGCACCAGGCCGAAAGTGACACAAGCTGCTCGTTCGATTTTTTCCGACAGCATGGCGAGGGCTTTCTTCCACCCCGGAGGTGGTTTCTGTAGGATTGATGTCGGACGGATGGCATGATGTTGGATGGCATGATGTCAGGTTGCCGCGATGTTGCCGGACGGCATTCTTGAGGTCGTCTCTTCATCAAACATGCACGGGGCAGGGCTAGTGCGGCTAGCGGGAGTCGCCACGAATCGTATAATTGCGCTGCGCGTGCGGTGCCGTACGATTCGCGCTCGGATTTCACCACCGTCTCCGCCAAATGGCACTGGATGTGTCGAGCCGTGGCGATTCGTGTTCGGAATTGGCGCGTGTGAGCCGCGTTGAGTTTCGCCGCGAACGGTTGAATCCCGCCAGTACTTGGGGGAAGCGTTCAACCCCACCAGTACAGCGGCCAAGCATTGCGGTCGTGTCTTGGAACACGCTAGTACATGGGGGAGCACATTTCTGGCGTGGTCCTGAATCCTGTCGGGTTGTACATTGTACAGGGCTTTAGACAAGGGGATGGATGGCAGACATGGAAGGAGGAATGGATGGATTTGATGATTAGGTGACTATGACTACGTCGCCGCTCCAGACGATTCGGGACACTCGATCTCTAGTTGAAGTTTCTGCTGCTCTCTGCTAGCCAGGCCGCTAGGCCAGATGTGATCAGATGTGGCTCTGTGCAGGAGAAGAAGCCGATCGGCCGCTCCAGCACGCTGGCGAACGCGCTGCGCAGCGCCGGTGCTGTGATCTTCTGCAAGACCACCATGACGCAGCTGGGCGAAACATGGGGCGGCGGCAGTCCTGCACACGGGGACACCCTGAATCCTTGGGACACATTGCGCACTTCCGGTGGCAGTTCCTGCGGCGAGGGCGCTTTGTTGGGTGCTGGTGGCTCACCTTTTGGCATCGGCTCGGACGTGGGCGGCAGCGTTCGGATTCCTGCCTCGTTTTGCGGTATCTGCGCGCTGAAGCCTACGGCCTTCCGTATGACTTTCAACTGGGAGACCGGCAGTTCTGTGTCTACGTTGCGTTGCATGAAAGTTTGATAAAGTTTGTGTGCGTGGGGGCCGTGGTTGGGATGCAGTTTTGCAGGAGACGGGGCAGACGATCCTCGGACATGCAGGAGACTACGGGGTGTCCAGGCAGCATTGCGAGGAATCCTGCATCAGCCGAGATGCTGCGAGTAGTCGTCAGGTCCCTGCAACACCTGGGCCCATGGCACGGTATGTGGAAGATTTGATCGAGGTCTGTGCAGCAGTCTGGGACACGCCGTATTACGACTCAGACATACGTATTCCACCTTTGCCGTTTCGCAGAGAGGCGACAGAGGTCAAAAGACCGCTGCGCATCGGCTGGTATACCCACGGCTACGTGTACCCAGAACCTTGCAGGTCAGTCGTGCGCGCTGTGGAGGAAGCAAGAGACGCATTGGCCGCAGCCGGTCACACCCTCCTTCACGTGCAGCCCTGGGAGGCTTGCCCTCTGGCTGACATCATCGGCTGCGACATTGCATTGGAAAGGTTGACGGACACTGATGGCGGGCTGGTGGTTGGAGCAGTGCCGCTATCTTCTGGCAGCAACGACTCGCACCCTGACCATTGGACGCACCCCGCATGCCAGGCGGGCTGGGATGTCATTCGGCGACCTTCGGTGAAAGCGCTGTTTTTTTTTTTTTTTTTTTTTTNNGGTGTTTTTGCAATAACGAGCCATGCAGGTCGAAACAACAAAAGTGGGGTGGGGGGAGGGGGGGGCGGGACATGGGAGAGCATCAACTGGGCCAATGCTCTAGGCAGCCAGACACAGGAGCAAATACCAGCTTCAACGCAGCTCCGCGGAAATGTGGAAGGTATCGCCTGGCGGAGTTGTGGTGGTTGTGCCTGCTCGTTTGTGATTTTTCCCATTTCTCAGCATGCCATGTCAGTGTAGGGGGCAGCAGAGAGTTCGGGGTCTCGAACTTCAGGAGGTCTTCCGGCCGCAGACTTGGGTGAAGCTAAAGAGCTCGTAGCGTGTCAGCCTTTCCTATCCGACATCAGCCTCGTTCTGTTTGGCTTCACCAACTTGGAAGGGCGCAAGCATAGACCGTCTTCCAGACCTCAAGCCGGAACCTCTTTCCCAACGAGAGCCTCAGAGCTTAGACCACATCATGCTGAACAGCCCCAAGACCATCTAAAACCCCTTTTCTCCAAGACGTTCAGCTGCAGGCTCATGCGTTCTGGACCTTCAGTTTTCGTTGTGTAGTTCTGGTACAAAGCTTGAGCTGTTTGGCATCTTTTGGTTAACCCGATGCCCATTTGGGTGTCAGATAAGGATAATATGGCGAGCCTCGGCAGCTGTACAGGGTCGGCAAGGTAGTGTAAAGTGCTTGCGGAGCGGAAGCATCGATGCAGCTAGCCCCTCCGCAGGCGCTGGTCCCCAAGCCGGGAACGAAGTCAACGGTGCACACGAGAATGCCTGCGACTAGTACGCCCAAGCGCTACCAGGCGGACTGGACTGAGGTGAGAAGCTGCGAGGCTTTGCACGTGCTTTTGCCTTGCAGGCAGCCATGGCCACCCGTGATCGGCTGCGGGACAAGTTCGCAAGCTTTTGGAAAGCAAACGAACTTGACCTTGTTCTGTGCCCTGTATTTCCTTTCCCGCCACCTCCAGTGGAAGAGGTAAGGAAGGGAAGTGGTCGGTATATTCACACGCGGATCTACAACTTCCTGGACTACGCTGCCGGAGTGGTGCCTGCAACGCATGTGACTGAGGAGGCAGCTTTACCCGCGAAGGGTTCATAGACTCGTAGCGCACGATGTCCACTGCTGTCATATGGCAGTTTCGGGACCCTGTAAACCATTCCCTAAATCGCAAATCGTAGGCTTCTTTGGTATAAGGACTCCCAGTTGCATGCCAACAGGACCTGGTGCGGGGATACGATCCCAAGACGGATGACGTACCTTTGGCCGAGATGGCCACTCGAGCTGTGGAAGGCTCCCTCGGCTTGCCCGTGGCAGTGCAACTGGCCCCATGACCGAGTATGAGGGATTTTGCGGCAAGTTGAGTACCTGTGCCGGAGTGTCCGGAATAAGATCTGCGGTGCAGTTTGGTGCTTAGGTCGCCCCACCATGGCGGGAGGAGCTTTGTCTGGGTGGCATGCTGGAGGCAATGTTGGGTAGAGCTTGTGTCGTACGGTCGTTTCGTCACGGTGCGGCTTTTCTCACCCTAAGCCCTAAACCCTAAAGCAAAGAGGTCCAGCGACTGTTGGCCTTCGATGGAACTGCGCCGCTTGTCTTGGCATCTTGAAGTCTGACTGACGTGCGCAGATATGCATTTAAGACAGTTGTCATAGATAGATGGATAAAGAGATAGAGAGATAGAGAGATAGATCGACCGATAAAGTGCAGTATATATATATATATACACACATGTACATACATACATATTGTGTGTATATATATATATATATGTATATGAGTACATATATATATATATATATATGAGCCCGACACCTTTAGGGTATATTTAGCTAGCCCTTTATATATACAATATAAAACCCCCTAGCTAAATCCTGCATATGTATATTAGACAGTGTGCAGACACAACACCGAAAGGTTTG